TTTAAAGCTAAATGAACTAACAGCTGGAAGCACCTAAGACAGACAGCACCTGTCATACGTGTAAACGCACCATAAACGCTGGCTGTATTCGCAGTGAACGCAGACCAGGCGCACCGGGACCTGCCCAGAGCCTCTGGGACACGCGCCTCCTCGCCTGGCACTCCGTCCACCCCCAGCAGACGTCCGGTTGCAGATTGCACATCCCACTGACCTGCATCCACACCAGGCAAACTGGAGGGCGTGGTGGTCCCTGGGCAGCCTCCTTGCCCTCACTCTTCTCCCTCCTGGGGTCTCTCCTCTCACCTCTGGGTCTGATGAGACTCCACCGGCCTCCCAGCCAACCTGGACGCCCCCGTGAACCCCGCCCCCAGGTGTGCGCCCACCGCCGGTGAATTCCTGCCAGCCCAGGGCTCAGTGCAGGCCCCTCATCCTCCCTCCAAGCTCGGAGCGCCTGGAAGGTGATATGCACATTCATCACTGCTCGCTCCTCCTCGCTGCGCTGACAGCGTCCAGCCCCTGCCCTCGGCTGCGGTAGGACGGAGTTGCGGGGGCTCAGAAACCGCCACCGCTGGGCCAGGGCAGCTGGGCACGTCACGCCCAACGGGAAGGCTCTGCCGTTCCAGAGGCCTCATCCCAGTTCCCACTGGCATCAAACCTCACACTAGGGCCCTGGCCGGTGTGCTCAGTGGTTAGAGCTTCAGCCTGTAGACTGAAGGGTCCCAGGTTCCATTCCCATCAAGAGCACATAACTCGGTTGCAGGCTCGATCCTCAGCCCCCGTCGGGGCACCTGCGGGAGGCCACCAATCGATGGGTCTCTCTCACATCGATGTCTCTCTCTCCGTGTCGCTCCCCCTCCCTTCCACTCTCTCTACAAATCAATGGAAAAATATCCTCTGATGAGAATTTTTTAAAAAACCTCACACTATCAATGGATGGTCTTTCTTTAGGAGGCAGCAGAAATAAATATGAGGAGAATGTTGATTGGTAGCCCTACCCTAAAGTGCCAACATGAAGATCACACCAAAAAAGTGGCCCCCATCTGGCTACCGGCCCTAGAATCAGAAGCCCACTGAGCCTCGAGGTTAGTTGGCTCAATGCCGTTTTCTGCTGGGCCCACCGACTGGCAATCCCAAAGGAAGCCACTCGGGCCACAGCTTCTTCAGATTCACCACCTCCGGCGCGTTAGTCACTGCGGAATTGGCCATAATGGCGCGTGCACAGTCCCCTGCCCCCAGACGCCCGGGAAGTGCCCAAACCCTGAACTCGCCAAAGGAAAGCCACAGCAATGCCCCATCCCAACAGCCACCCGGTAAACACTGCAGGCAGGGCCATCACCAGGTACGCAGGTCAGGAACAGGCCACCTATTCCTGACTCAGCCCAGGAGCCCAGCTGCAACCTGACACCAGGCCTCAGCCCTTTGCTGCAGCCACGGGGGCATATTCACAGGCTCCTTCATGCCCAGCCTCACCCAGCGTCACAGCATCCTGCTCCCGCCCCTCTGCCTCAGGGAGATGTCCCCGAGACACCAGGTCCGTGCATCCCAAATGCGAGTTTGTTTTCCCTCAGATCACAGACAGGCTCCTGAAGGTCAAGGATACTCACTCTCAGGATGCCGGGCGGTGCCCAGAAATCCTTGGGCAGAGCTGCCCAACTCCCTCTCAACAGGACGAGTCCTAGGAAGCTAACTAGAGTGACCACGGTTCATTTAATGATGCTCATCTCATTGCACATGTAGGTACGACAACAAGAAAGTAAAAGTAAGTGTTTCAGTTGGAATAGATTAGACAACAAAATATATGAAACACCAGCTTTTTTTTACTAATTCTTAAATTGATTTTAGAAAGACAAGAAGAGAGAGAAACACTGACCTGTTGCTCCACTCATTGGCTGGTTCTTGTCTGTGCCCTGACTGAGGATCGAACCTGCAACTTGGTCTAGTGCAGCAGTTCTCAACCTGTGGGTCGCGACCCCTTTGGGGGTCGAATGACCCTTTTACAGGGGTCGCCTAAGACCATCGGAAAACACATATATAATTACATATTGTTTTTGTGATTAATCACTATGCTTTAATGATGTTCAATTTGTAACAATGAAATTGGGGGTCACCACAACATGAGGAACTGTATTAAAGGGTCGTGGCATTAGGAAGGTTGAGAACCACTGGTCTAGGGGGATGCGACTCTACCCCACTGAGCTACCCTCCTCAGGGCTACACCAACTCTTTCAATAAAAGGACATACTCAAGTCCATTCAGTCTTCTCATTCCTTATTATCTGTTGCTTTTATTGAAGAGAGGTCTATCTCTATTTAAGTTGTTACTATACTTATTATTTATTAAGGTATCTTTTTCCGGCAGGTCCTTCACAATAAACAGGTCCACACTCTTATCTTACACTCTCAAATCCAAATTCCAAAGCAGCAAGGTAACCAAAGAAAGCAAGTCACACCCCTCTACCCTCCGCAAAGGCAAGGCGAGGAACACTGGGAGGCTCGGAGCACCCAGGAAAATAACTCCCCAAATCAAATTTTTAAAAAAATCTCCTCACGCACAGAAAACACTGGAAGCCACCTCAGCGTGTCCCACTTTCCAAAACAACAAGCCGCACCAACGAAAACACCCTGAGCGCCAGCAGCAGCCTGTGGCCGGCGAGGCTGAAGCCCGGGGGACACACACTGCCCCGGCCCCCGCTCGTCCCGGGGACGGACGCCAGGCCATGCCAGAGTCCAGCAAGGACCGACGGCGGTCTCCCTGGTCCTGCTCTGGGAGTATGAATCCCCAATTGCAGTCTGTCCTGGTGGTCAGAGCTAGTACAGACGGACGGCCAAAGGACTGAGGTGTTGACAGGTTCACTTTATCTTCACTTTCAGCCCTGGCTGGGTAGTCAGGTGGTTAGAGCACCCTCCCGCTATGTCAAGGTTGCAGGTTCGATCCCCACTCAGGGCACATTGCATAAATAAGTGGAACAACAAATTGACGTCTCTCTCTCTCTCTCTCTGTCTGTCTGTCTCTCTCTATCTCAAATGAATAAATTTAAAAGATAAAATAAAGGTATGTTCACCTCTCCCCAAGCACCTGAGTCTTAAAACAACTGGTACTGTTACTTGCACCATTGGGGAAAAGTGACTCAAACAGCCATAAAGATAGTAGCATTTCCTCACCAAACTACATGGTTGAGAAAAGAGGAAAAAAAGAAGAAAAAAAGCAGAAACTTACTTTTCATAGACCAGCTCCTCATCGATGGAGAAATAGTGGATATGTACTGTGCTTTTTGGTCTATTCCTTAAAGTAGCAAAATATAAACGATCTGAAAGACAAGTTTAAAAGACGGGAGAAACGTATGAGAAGTGGGGAAGCTGGCGGTGGGGCGGCCACACACACAGGAAGATCAAAACAACACGCGCTGCCCATGCCTTAAAGCCTTCAGCACGCGGGCTTCTTGCAGAAACCTGATCTCGCCCAGAAAGCGAGAGACCCAAGGGCACGGCCGTCCCAGAGGCACCCAGAGCACCTGAGGGAGGGAGGGACTCTGCGGGGGGCAGGGCACCCCGGCGCCCTCGGGTCCGGCCAGCGGGGAGCGCCTGGAGGCCGGGGTCCCCGCAGAACTGGCGATGCACGTTGGGTTCAGAAATGTGCAGCCGCAGGAAGGGGAAGCGAGGCGAGCCTCCCCTGCAGCTCCGGGGACTCGAGAAGAGGAAGGGAGGAGAGACGCGGGGTGTGATCGTGGGGGCGGGGGGGGCTGAACACCGAGGCCACCCAGAGTGAGATCCCGGCGCCCCAAAGGA